GCTCTCGTTCCCTCTGCCCCACCAAGATCGCTGCGGTTGCAGCCAAGGTTTTGCTTATTCGAGCGCTTCGTAAACTAGGGAGTTCCCTAATAAAACTCGCGTTGGATTCGTATCACTCAATGGACCGAGAAATAAGAGTCCTCTTCACCGAGCCCCATCCTGTCCCTGGACGGCTACAGGACGTCTCCGGCGTTCCTGGTGCTCGCTGGCTTGGCTTCGGCTAGCGGAGACCGTGCCGGGCGGGTTGTGGGGGCTTTAGAGAGGTGGTAAAAGCTTGCAACAGTCTCCAGTGGGCGAAGGGGACCAGAGAGCCTCCTCCGCCGCAGAAACCCAGTCCGAGCGCTGCTGAATGTGCCGCCCTGCAGCCCCTTGGCCCCAGGGGTTTGGCTGCTGGGGTGAAGGCAGCTGCCTGGTTTTGGCTTCCCCATGAGCAGTGCCTCTCCCCAGCTCACGTCCGTCCCCTGGGGCCGTCGCTGCTCTGGTTATTGAACTGCGAGCGGCTTGTTAATCATCCCGGGGGGACGAGTTAAGGCAAGACGCTTGGGATGCGGTCCCAGACGAAGCGGACGGCGGCTGGCTGGAGGCTGAGACCGTCCCTGCGGGTGCCCCGGTCTTCCCTTGCTTAAACCCCGGTCATAACATGAGCAGGGGGAAGGCATGAGGCTGCAGCTCGGGCCCGCAGCATCGGTCTGAGCCAAGGCCAGGGGCAAGACCCTCCAGCCGAGCCCCTGCGGGGTCGGTGTCAGCAGGAGCATTGGCACAGCCCAGCCCCATCCCCAGCCATTAAAATGCCGTGCTGGGAGCACGGTCAGGTTGGTCTTTGGAGATGCTGCAGCTTTGCCAGGGTGTTTTGAAGCAGGCTTTGAAGTGCAGTTCAAAGGAGAGAGGCATCCTGGCAGACGGGAGCGCTCGCCAATCCGCACTAGACGGGGCAGGGGTGGGGGGGCCTTCCCCGCCACCTCCAGAGATGATCATTTAGCTTCCTGACAGAGCCGGGCTTTATTTTCCTTTTGAAACAGAAGCTGCTAAATCCCCGTCCTGGGCTGGAGGCAGGTTGTCTGCAGCCAGCCTGTGAACCACCCCCCTACCCCCAGCTTTCCTGGCAGGAAGAAGGATGGAGGTGTGAAAAACCCTGAGCCTGGATAATGCTGAGTAGTGCGTGCGTGCGTGCGTGTGTGTGTGTGTGTGTGCATGCATGTGCATGTGCGGTCTCTCCTTCCCCGCAGGGGCGCTGTGGGTGTGCGTGGTGCTGAACCCCCACTGCAAGCTGGAGGAGAAATCCTGCTGGCTCCGGCAGCTGCGCAAATGGAGCGACATGGACGTGTGCCCCTTGGAGGACGGCAACTACGGCAACGAGCTGCCCAACATCACCAACGCGCTGACCCAGAGCGCCAGCCACAGCCAAGGTGAGCGGTGCCCGGAGGACCCGGCCTCGGGGCTCGAGTCCAGGCACAAGCCCTCCAGGAGCCTGGGGGTGGGGAAGGGGTCGCTGTGCCCATCTCCAGCTGAAAAGCGCCCGATGGGTTACCTTTGCAATGACCCTGTCAAGGCCAATACCTCGCTGCCAAACCCGCCTCCCTCTCTCTCAGACTCGGGGCCATTCGCTCCCTTTTAAAGAGCCTGGCTCTTCTCTTTCCCACCGTCACGATGGAGCGGGCTGTGGGGTGTTTGGCTTGTGTCGACCCCTTGGCCTGGGAGCAGCAGTGAAGCAAAGCCCAGGCTGACGGCGAAGCTGGAACCAGATGGGGAAGGAAATTATATGAGCGTTAAAGCACTGGTGATGGTGGCGGGGCGATGGAGACCCTTACCATGGGCTCAGGGCTGCTCCCTTCATAGAAAAGTCAGGTGGGAAGGGAGCTCCGGAGATCACATCCAGTCCACCCCCTGCTCCCAGCAGGACCAGCCCCAACTGCATCATCCCAGACACGGCTTTGTCTACCTGGGTCTTAAACACCTCCAAGGAGATTTTGCCACGGATGATGGGAGCTGCCCCCCAGACAAACGTTGGGGCGATGGCTAGAGCCGCACAAGCCCGCACCGGGCTCTGGGCACCGTCGTGCCTGCACATCGGGTGCCGACGGGGACGTGAGCCTGGCACCGAGCTTGTAAAACGGGGGTGCTCCTCGGAGCTGCGTCTCCTGCCCCATCCGGGACTGTTCTAGCAGCTGCTCTGTTCATTTTGGGGGTATGGCCCATTCGACCCTGCTCGGTACAGAGCCCCCCTCGGCCAGCCCAGCACCGAAACGTCCTCTGCAACCCCGACAAAGCGCTTCATCCCTTTGGTTTCAAACACCGTCTTCCATCCCCGTGCGCCCGCTTCGCCCGAGACGGGCCTTAATTGAAACCTTCTGCTCTAGCAGCGCCTCATTCTGCTGCGCTGTAATGGGTTTTCCGTGTATTTGATGCAGCCAGCGTAGAAAGAGGGGTGAAAAATAGCCCAGCCGGGTTGGGAGGGAGGTATCTTCTGGGTGTAATTAGTGCTCTCAGCCTCCCCCCCCTACGCTGAGCCCACAGGGACCCTGCAGGGGTATCAGTCTAGGCAGCCCGCCACAGCTCAGCCCAGATCCCCGTGCACCCTCCACATCTCCCACCTTGTCTCGTCATCAAGGACCAGCTCCATGCAAAGCCGACTGGACCTGGCTCTGCCCTGTGGTCGGCTGCAAGCAGCGGCATCTCCTGGTGTCTGGGCATTCGCTGCACGACCGGGGCTTCCGGGGCACATCCGCACCGGTGCTTACACCTGAAGGTGGAAGTGGTGCTCAGTGGGAGTCCAGGAGCCCCCGGCTCGGGGTTTTCCAGACTCCTGATACGTGAGCCATGCTTCTCTTGCTGGATTAGACTCAGTGGCACGCTTTGCTCTTGCACCTGAAAAGGTGCCTGTATAAATACAGATTTTTCTTTTTTTGCAAAACCTATAAGCGGTTCCACTCCCCTGCCGGAGGGAATCGCCCCGGTGCTGAGACGTACCAATAAGAAACAACTCAGTAACTTGTCAGAATTTCACAGCATCTCAGCTGGAAATCACTAAGCTGAGATCATAAAATCATAGAAAACGAGGGTTGAAGGGAGCTCGGGAGGTCACACCTAGTCCAACCCCTGCTCCAAGCAGGACCAGCCCCAATTGCATCATCCCAGCCACAGCTTTGTCTACCCGGGCTTCAAAACCGCCAAGGATGGAGATGCCACCACATCTCTGGGCGGCCTGTTCCAGTGCTTTCACCACCCTCCTAACGAGAGAGTTTTTCCTAGTATCCAACCTCAACTTCCCTTGCTGCAGCTGGAGCCCATTGCTCCTTGCTCTGTCATCTGCCCCCACTGAGAACAGCCCAGCTCCATCCTCTTTGCAGCCCCCCTGCAGGGAGGTGAAGGCTGCTATTCAATCCCCCTCCGTCTTCCCTTCTGCAGACTCAGTGAGCCCATTTCCACTTCAGATCTAAATTCACAAGGGTTGTGCAAGGGGCCTTGAGGATCTGCGATGTAGCTGGTGCCACGTAAGGGCGGCTGGGGCAGGATCTCACCCTGCCGTGCCCAGCTCTTTCCATGTCTTGCCCCCTGGTCTATACCTCGGGGTATGGGCACCGTGGGGCTGCTCTTACAGGGTCTCATACGGGGGAGCACCCCCGCGGCCCCTCTTGGGAGCATGGGAGGAGCAGAGGGAAGGGGCCAGGCTGCAAAACACGGCTTTGTCTGTGCATCTTCCCTGCTCACGGCACAGTGCGCTGGTGGGAGCTTCGGGCAGCCTCCAGAGGAGCAGCTACAGGCACGGGTAGAGTAGCTGGGCAGGTGGAGGGCATCGGGCAGGGAAGGAGAAGTACCTGTTAGGGAGACGGAGGCTTCTTGTGCTCCAGGCCCAGGGGCTGGATCTCACCTGCAGCCGCATGATGCCGCATGTCCTTTGCTTTGCAGACTCCCTGGCCAGGCCACGGCGGACCGTCTTCACCCGGGCCATCGAGGGCTGCGACCTGCACTGGCAGGACAGCCACTTGAAGCGGATCATCAGCAGCGACTTCTACATGTCCCCTTCCTACCAGAGGGAGGGGGAGAGCCTGCTCTTCAATTCCCAAGGACAGCCCCTCTGGCTAGGTAACTCCCCCTTGGGCGGCCTTGCGTCCATCTCCTTGCTGGGCTCTCTGCCGTCACCTCGAACGCAGGGACCCGGAGTCACGGCGCCGGGGGGCTGGCAGGGGTCACATCCGATCAGCCCTGTGCAAACCCGCCCAGACAAACCCAGCGTCCGTGCCGTCAACCCAGACACAAGACGTCACACCCGATCCTCTCCAGGGAGGTTGTGACTTCAGCCCAGACCTGACTGTTTAGCAGACGCAATGCAACAGGCCCCTGGTTCCTCTTATTTAGAGGCTTTTCCAGTGCAATGAAAGCTGCAGGTGATGCAGAGCCAGCTGGCATCAGGCGCCGTCTCCCCACCCCAAAGGCGCCTTTGCCTGCCCGCCCGGCTCCAACATGGCCTGCTTGACCTTGCCTTGCAGAGCACGTCCCGACTGCGTGTGCCCGGGTGGACGCCCTGCGCTCCCACGGATACCCCAAGGAAGCGCTCCGGCTCACCGTGGCCATCATCAACACGCTGAGGTTGCAGCAGCAGCGGCAGCTGGAAATCTATAAGCATCAGAAGAAAGGTAGGGGCTGCTTTTGGCCGGTGCAGAAGATGAACCGCCTGGCGTGACCCTGCTGGAGAAGTCGGGCTGGAGGTCACGTTGAGTCCAAGCAGGATCAGCCCCGTCCAAACCAGCCCAGACAAACCCCATGTCCGACCTCGGAGCGGCACAACACAGTCGCCCCTGACGCAACCCCTGTCCCCAGGAAAGCAGGGGGACCGCGGCCGCCAAGGTCCTGCTTCTATTAAAGGTTGTCAAGATATGTTAGAGAGACCCCAGGTTAAGACTGCAGAGGGAGGCAAAACCCCCCAGTTTGGATCAGTCTGGGCAGGGGGGAAATCCCTTCCTGCCCCAGTGCAGCATCGGGCTGAGCCCGAGCGCGGGGCCAAGACCCTGCAGGGTTGGTGCCAGCCCAGTCCCCATCCCCATCCCAGGTTGCAGTCGGAGACGTAAACCCCCCCCGACACACGGAGCAGCAGGACAGGGTGGGGGGGGTGGGATTCCTTCTCGGCTCCATGCAGCAACCAGCAAAAAGCGCATCATGGCCGAACGCGGGCAAAGCAGGCAGGGCTGGGGCAGCGAGCGGGTGCAGGCTGCAGCCGTCCCCGGGGTGCACGGCGCTGGGCACGGACCTGGCCTTGCATCTCGTGCTCTCCGCGTCCCCCTCCCAGAGCTGCTGCAGCGCGGAGCCACGACCATCACCAACCTGGAGGGCTGGGTGGGCCACCCGCTCAACCCCGTCGGCTGCTTGTTTCTCACCTTGACCGAGGCCTGTCGGCTAGAAGAGGAAAGCTGCCTGGAGATCTCAGGTACTGGCTCCTGACGGCCCGGCCCTCCACCCGCGCCAAGTTTCCCGGTGCTTTTTATTCCCCGATGCTTCCTTAGAAACCCCGTCCAGCTCTGTGTCTCGTTTTGGCCCCTGGCATCACCTCCAAGCACAGCGGTGGGTCCTGTGCCCCCTGTGTCTCCTGTAGACCCCCAGGCGGGCAGCGGTGCTGGGCTCTCTGGGTCCACTCCTGCCCCTCTAATCCGTCCTGCCCCCTCCAGACGCCGGCGACGCCAAGCCCCCCGTGTACCAGCACGTGCCGGTGGCAACGGGCAGCCTGGACAGCGGCGAGTCGTACCTGGCCCTGGCGCTGGAGGTGGCACTGGTGGGGATGGGGCAGCAGCGGGTGATGCCCGAGGGGCTGTACGCACAGGACAAGGTGTGCCGCAACGAGGAGCAGATCATTGCCCGTCTGCAGGAGCTGGAGCTGGACGCCGCGCTGGTGCAGACCCTGCGCAAGCAATGCATCCTGCTGCTGGAAGGTGGGTGCTGCGGGCGGGCAAGGGGCAGCCTGGCCGTGGCCAGCCGCTGCTTGTGGTCCCGCAGATGCCATAAGGCTCAGACATTTGATGCGGATAACCCGGAGAGAGTCCAGAGAAGGGCCGCTCGTATGGTTAAGGGCTTGCAGGCCAAGCGCTATGAGGAGAGACTAGAGAACCTGGCCCTTTTCAGCCTCCGCAAGAGAAGGGTGAGAGGCGACCTTGTGGCTGCCTATAAGTTCATCACGGGGGCACAGAAGGGAATTGGTGAGTATTTATTCACCAAGGCGCCCCCGGGGGTTACAAGAAATAATGGCCACAAGCTAGCAGAGAGCAGATTTAGACTGGACATTAGGAAGAACTTCTTCACAGTTCGAGTGGCCGAGGTCTGGAACGGGCTCCCAAGGGAGGTGGTGCTCCCCCCTACCCTGGGGGTCTTCAAGAGGAGGTTAGATAGGCATCTAGCTGGGGTCATCTAGACCCAGCCCTCTTTCCTGCCTATGCAGGGGGTCGGACTCGATGATCTATTGAGGTCCCTTCCGACCCTAACATCTATGAATCTATAGAGACCCCTGGGAGGTGCCGCAGGGGACCAGGACCAGGCACCTCCAAGGGCTGGGGTGGTCCCCGAGGGCACCAGGAGCCGAGGGAGCTGCGGGTGTCGGGAGGCTAGGGCGGGCACTGACGAGGCTTTGCTTTCGCTCAGGGGGGCCCTTCAGTGGCCTGGGGGAGGTGATCCACCGTGAGAGCGTCCCCATGCACACCTTCGCCAAGTACCTGTTCTCCGCCCTGCTGCCGCATGACGCCGACCTGGCCTACAAGCTGGCACTGCGGGCCATGAGGTGCGTGGGCGCGGGTTGTCCCCGGGGTGCAGCTCGGCACGCGAGAGCCGCCGTGTCCTGTCTCGGGCCTCCCTGCACCCGGGGGTAGAGCCGGGGCCGGGTTGAATGGGGCACGTCCAAAATGCCAACACGATGGGATCATTGTTGCCCCAAGCAGGAGGGTGGGAGAGGGAGGTGAGAGCTGGTTCCCTGCTACCCGGAGTGGGAATAGCGCTGCCAAGCGCCGGGCACGAGCACACCAGCATGGTCGGGTGGAAAGCAGCTCACGGCTTTCCCAGCGCTCGGTGAACCCATTCATGCCCAGCGCTGTCTGGAGCCGGCCGGGGCCAGCTGGGAGCCGGTGATGTCTGATATATCCATCCGCCCCCGTCAGGCTGCCCGTGCTGGAGACGACCGCCCCGTCCGGAGACGTCTCCCACCCTCACCACCTGGTCTCGGTGGTGCCCAGCCGGTACCCGCGCTGGTTCACCCTGGGGCACCTGGAGTCACAACAGTGCGAGCTGGCCTCCACCATGCTCACCGCCGCCAAAGGTGGGTGCGAGTCCGGCGCCCCTCTCCCCCCACCCACAGCCGGGACGGGGCCTGCAGGCTGGGGTCCGAGTGCAGGGCACGGGGGGCTGGACCCGCAGCGGGTTTGCAGCGTTATGCCTTTGGAGGAAGTGGGGGTGGCGGGGGATTCCCCTGGAAGTGAGAGAGTGTGTGTGTGTGTGTGTGATTCCCTGGGGGCAGAGGGGGAGAGTGTGATTCCCCAAGGGGAGTGTGTGTGTGTGTGTGTGTGTGTGTGTGTGTGTTCGTTCCCCTGGAAGAGAGTGTGGGTAATTGTGTTCATGTGTGATTCGCTGGTGGGAGGGTGTGCGTGTGAGATCCCCTGAGAGAGAGTGCATGTGTGACATTGGAAGTGTGTGTGTGTGTGTGTGTGTGTGTGTGTGTGTGTGTGTGTGAGATCTCCTGGGAGAGGGAGTGTGTGCGTGTATTTGTGAGGGACTGTGTTCGTATGTGCAATTCCTGAGGGGAAAGGGGTAGTGTGCATGTGCGTGTGATCCCCTGGAAGAGAGAGAGAGTGTGCATGTGTGAAATCTCCTGGCAGAGAGAGTATGTGAGTGTGTGTGATCCCTTGGAAAAGCGAGTGTGTGTGCATGTGCGTGTGTGAACCCCTGGAAGAGAAAGTGTGTGTAATTGTATTCGTATGTGTGTGATTCCCTGGTGGGAAGGGAGAGGGTGAGAGCGTGTGCACGCATGTGCACGTGTGAGATCCCCTGGCAGAGAGTGTGAGTGTGATCCCCTGGCAAGAGAGAGCGCGCGTGTCTCTTTCCAATGAACTTGGCTGGACCTGAAGCCCTCCAGGAGCCCTCTGCAGCCTCTCAGGGGGTCCGGGGCGGCCCCTGGCAGGGGTGCGAGGGATGGGGGTGGCCGAGCTGTCGGCTGCCAAAACAGGAGCGAGGGCCATGCCAGCGGCATCACAGCATCTCGGGGCCGCTCTCCAGACCGGGTCAGACGGGGCCAATCCTGCCTGGAGCCGGGGGCTGGGGTGGACGTGCCCTCCGGAGGACCCGGCCAGGCCGGGAATGGCCAATGCACCGCTGGCTGTGCGGGCACAACAGCCTGGGAAGGCATCAGACCATGTGCTGCGGGCAGAGCCGGACACCTCCCCGGGTGGGATCCTGGTGACGGAGGCTTGCTGGATCCCGCCCCTCCGGCTCGTCCCCACCTGGCTGTCACCTCTGGAGCGTCCGGCCCCTCCGCACTTGGGGTCAGGAAGGAATCAGACCCAGATGAAGGCCCCGGGTCTTGCCTGCGTTGACCCTTGATGGGTTGAGTAGAAACCTCAGGGTGTGAGTGATGGGGCAGTGCACGCAGTAGACTGCTCTGCCGGGCGAAGAGAGGTCACAGCCCATGGGGACGTCCCGTGTCAAGGCCAAGGGGAAGGTCAGAGGGGACTTCATTCCACATGACTGCAAAGGCACAGGCCACGCATGAGCCTGGGGTCAAACCGGAGGGCGCGGGTGCCAGACTGAGCTCTGGCCTCTCCACAGGAGACATGCTGAGGTTGCGCACGGTGCTGGAAGCCATCCAGAAGAACATCCACTCCTCCTCCCTCATCTTCAAGCTGGCCCAGGACGCGTTTAAGATCGCCACGCCGGCCGACAACAGCTCCGACACCACGGG